TTAAATGTATTATGGACATTTAAAGGACCTTAAGAAGGCAATTAAAGGTTGATAAAGTCTCTACCCAGTTGGAGGTTCTTAAAAGTTTTTAATGCCTTTACAAAAGGTTGTAAGCTTCTATAAGTTCTTAGAAACGGTTAGCGACTCTTAAGATTTTAAACACCTTTAGATGCACTTAAAAGACCTTTTAAGGTCAAAAAGATCTTCAGGATTCAGCAAGATACAGATGTTCAATGCTTTTAAAAACAATTAAAAGGTCGTGGATGATATTGAAAACAATTGTGGAGAAAACATTTGGTGACACGTGGAGGTTCTTCAAACGTTTGGAGGTTCTTGAATACCATTAATGATACTTAACTGGTATTAAAAATAACTATGTACCTATAGAAGTCTAGGAACCCCTTAATCAGCTTCTTTTTGACTGCACTAATGATGTCTCACATTTTAAGAAACATGAGAATTAAAAAACTTTATTTGTGGGAAATAAACCAATTTTTCTGTAAGTTAGTGGCGGATTTCACCCCTTTGGGCGGTCGTTAAACGAATTAGAATTTTTTGTACAGTGTACTACCATTGAATAATTTCAATGATACTACCTACTGCTTACAATACGTTAAGTATTCTCGCACGATTAGGGCATTGTGGGCGGGTACACCATCCTGTTGAAACCAACAGTTTCCAACTTTTGTTTTTTTTTGTGTGCCGTACATCGTTGTATTCGTAATAAAAAATGCTACTCAATACATGTACCTACCTTTTTAGGGACCATACAAGAAATTAAAGTTGATGATGATTTCTCCGGAACGAAACGTTGAATTTAAAAATCTCTCAACGCTGTCTTTTAGAGCTTAAAAACAGGTAATGAGAAAGTGTTTGTTTAATTTTTTATATTTATTCAAATAGCATCAGAAAAAAATAAGAGCAAAATCGGCAAATTTTGGTTTTTCTGGCATATCCTCTGAAGTAATCGAAATTTTCTGGTTTTTTTGCAGTATGATAATCACTCTTTAATTGCGCATATTGTCCCTAATTTAACCATATTCGTATCTCCTATAGTTTCTGAGATGTGACCAAATTTGGTTCCAATCGGTTCAGGCGGTTAGCTGAAACAGACGACAGATCGACATCATCGATGTTTTGTTTAACTCGGATTCCTGGTGTTTCAAAACGTGTATTTCCGTCAAAAAAGTGGTAATTTTTTACTTCTTCCTAACGTGCGGATGATAAAAATTGGGGACCGGGGAACGAAAACAAGCAGTTGTTCCAAGATGGTGGAGAATTTTCGTTTCAGGTCCCCAATTTGTGTTTATTTTTAATTTTTCCTTCCAGCACCCATAGATTTAGAGAGTAACACAGTTGCTAAATTTATTCCAAAAAGCGCGAATCAAATATCAACAAATTTGGTTATCTGGAGGTTTTTTAAAAATGACGAATCTAAAATTAGATTTTGAAAATTTAAAAAAAAAACATTATAATATATTATAATATAAACAATATAGAATTACATACAGATTAAACAAATTTATTAGATATAAATCAATCAAATAATCTGAATGAAAAATAGGCACTCAGGTGCAGAAGACAAATACCAAGCAGCAAGCGATCACTACAAGAAATTAATTTTAAAAAAAACACTCCGAATAACGTTTCGTAAGCGTACCACAAGCTTCCTTAACTCGAATTAAACAGCCATTTTGAACGACGTAGGTATAAGATGAAATCTCACTGACTTTCTTCTATAACACCTTTATTATCAGCAAGACTGAACAACAACAAAGTACGCTCAACTACTGCGATACACCAAAAGCCTCCAAAAACCATGAAATCAACGATGAATGTCCGCCTATATTTAAAACGATTTCCCTTTTTTAACTTTCCGAACCATCTCTACCTTCTCGGTCGTCGAATATAATTACAAACAATTTCGATCTTCAGTTTATTTGGAAAAAATTTGTTGGTAAGTAGTTTATTATTGTATGGGACGAATGTGATTTTTAACAATTTGTGTAGGTAGATAAATTTTAAAGTGTTTGACTATTTTAGTTTGGCGAATTATATTGTATACCTACAGTTAAAAATTTCAAAATTATAAAAGGAATAGGAAGTGGAGCATCCAATTAACATACGGAAGTGTGAATTAGCTTCTGGTAAAACCGAAGATACGTAAGTAGCTATATCCATCCCTCTATAACACTGAATAAAACGGTATAACAAACAACCCAAACAAATACATAGAAGACAGAAGAACTTAGTAACAATTTAAAGGATCTAGAATTAAAGCTTCCCTTAATAAAGTGTAAAAAAAATGTATATGAAGAAATGAAATTTTTAGAATAATGTTCAAATTTTATTTGCAATGGGGTGCAAACTGGTCCCCCACTTTTTTAGGGTAATACCGGTTCTTAAGCACCAGGAATCCGAATCAAATAAAAGATGGTGTCGGTCTGTCTGTCCGTACTCTCATTTCCGGTTAAACGGCTGAACCGATTAGAATGAAATTTGGTACGATTGTAGGATGATTCGTCCCCGATAATTCGCCCCCGGAATATTCGCCTCCGTAAGGTTCGCCCCAGAAAGATTCGCCCCCGACAAATTCTCTCCTGGAAGATTCGCCCCCGGCGATTCCGCTCCCGTAGGATTCGCCCCATAAGATTTATTAATCCTCGGAGGTAACAGGGCCAGCAGTTCATATCATCCATTCATAGTTTAATTGTTATTTGTTTAATATGTTACCAAACCAACCTATTACTTCCGAGGGTTAATAAATGTTATGGGGCGAATCTTCTAAGGGCGAATTGGTCGGGGCGAATTTTTCGGAGGAGAATTTGTTGAGAGCGAATATTCAGGGGGCGAATTTGTTGGGGGCGAATTTGCTTGGGGGCGAATTTACCGCACACTTTTGGTACACATGTGCCTCTGGCCAGAGCATATTTTAAATAACTTCCACTAGGCGGCACTGAACCCAGTATCGGTGTGTCATACTGGAGGCTCCACGCTAGAGCAAAATTTTTGGGGGTCCTAGTCGTCGCACAAGGGCACCTCTAGAGGAGAACACCAACCGGAAATTTTTCAACAGTTTTATAAAATATGACTAAGTGCCAAACAACAGTAGTTGTTTATGGTAAACTTTGCAGTCTCCCAATGACTATGAATTTGGCAATGATAAATTTCTTTTCAAAGATAGCTGAAAAGTTTTTGCCACTGGTAGTTTTACAGACTTAAGACTACTAGGCGGCAATAGTACATTATATATCAAGGTAGAGAAGTCCAGTATTATTGCCTGAGCACCAAGATTACATCTCGAGGCGCTTGCGCCGAGGGGTGTAAGGTGCGAAGGCAATAATAGACTTCTCTACCGTGGTATATATACTATTTTTTTCACTACTAGCACTTGAAATCCTCTAAATTAACATATTATATTGATAAGAGAGTTAACGGTTGGACAGAATTGTTTGTTTCTTAATTTAACATGTCAATCAAGTACGTGGAAGTACAAGTCAAACAGGCCGTATTTTGTTCTGTCATTGAGATTTTTCAAAGAGTAATTTCGTTCGATTTTTTCAAAATGTGATAATTTTAGGTATGTAATTTCTCTGGAAATTGCGAATGGTGGCAATTATTCGTTTTAGAGAACTTGTCTAAACGTTCATTGAGCGAAATTTCGGGTTGTGTTTTCTAAAAGTGACAGCGTGACAGTTCTCATTATTGACTACTAGTTAATAATAAAAAATTATTAACCACTTTGAACAAATGCCGAGAAAGCCTATTTTACAAGTGGAAAAAAGGTTAATAATCATGTCATCAGACGCTAGTAGTGAAAAGAAAGTCTTTACTAGGCGGCACTGTGCCGCCTACTTTATAGCTTAAAATATGCTCTGCCTCTGGCATAAATGGAAGAGGTGTAAAGCTTTTAGGCAGTACGCGCATGCGTAGATGTGCAGGTGGTATCTGTGCTAGCCACAGAAACTTTTTTTAATACACTGGATCAGGAACAATTCTGCAACTGTATTAAGAAAAATCTGCTTTATACGTATTCCAACTCATTGGCTTTTAGATACATGACATCGTACTTCAATTTTTGAACAATATTGGTTAATTTGGTACTGCAGAATACTTCGGTGTATTCCAGCAAATCCCGATTGTGCAAAATAGGTAAAGTTACTAGAAGCTTATATTTATTTGTATATTTTCTGCCATAAAAGGCACAAATTCGACTTTTTCTTTTAAGTATCATGGTTGCTGTGCGGGGTTTTACCCTCCAGAAAAAATGTTTGCTTTGTTCCCTCCGGGCTGAGTTTTTTTTTACTTATGTAATTATTAATTATATTACACAGTACACTCCGTATAACAACTGTCGCAGTGAACCGAAAGCTCTAGTGTTCTACACTAATTTTGATTATTTGAATTAAACAAATTACATTTAGAACTAAAATTACAGGATTACTAAATTATTACTCGAATTATTGCCAATAAGGGGTACTTGTAAGTCTGTCGTATGTTTTAGGGAATGAACTTTTTGCATAAAAATGGAAATAGATACGTGAATATTCGCATATTTGGATAAAACTTTTTAAAGTAAGTAATCACGAAGTAAATAAGCATTCAAGGGGATAAATTGCTCGCTATTTGCGATACATAAAGCAAACAAACTCACTTTTCCCTCTTTAACAGATTAAAATCGCTTCGCCTATTTACATTTTAAGCGTGTTCTACACGTGCCCAACTTCCGAAATAGGTATTTCATTTAATGATCATTACGTAATAAACGCTGCAGCCAGAAATTAATTTTAATTTTTATTTGTCCCATCGTATACAAATGCAACAGGCTCAACGTTAAAATATGGTGAGTTTCGTAGGAGGAAAAGCTCTCGTTCAGGTTGCCGGTCCCCGGCTCTTGGTTGCCTTGGTTCACCCTAGCGCCGTTATACGGGGGTTGCGGAGCGGGAAAGGATGATATTGATCAGCGGGCGGCATCAGCGGCGAACCCCCTCGTTTCTTGCTTAGAAACTCCTCGTGTGTTGGTGTTTTGTTATGTGATGGTTTAAACGTAAGCTGCAAAGCTCGTTTGCAGCATTAAGTGGTTGGTGGTGTGTCGTGAAGTAGGATAAACTTTATTTATACGGAAATAGCGTCGGAATGAGGCGTAAGTATTTCGCGCGGTGCGAGAAAAAAAAGTATCTGTCTAGGTAAAGGGCGTATAAAACGGGGGGGGGGTTGCTATTTTAAGTGTCGATTCATTCATATGCAAATGAGGGTCAACGCACCAAACTGTCGCAGTGACGCTTCCGCCCAAACATCTTTAACAAAACTTTGAAGGTCAAGATCAAACTGTGACCCACATTAACAAATGGACGTTCACTTTCTTTGCGCTCGCTCCCGTGTTATTTATAGCGGTCTGCATTGCGTTGAGCTTTCGACCCAGAGTATGGGAAATAAACTCTGTAATTTAAGTTCATTGCCACTTTTTTCGACCGATGTTTATTGCCTACCGTCGATTGTGTATTTTAATGAATGGAGCCACTTCCTGAAATGGTTCCAAACAATGTGTGTAACTGACGGAACCAAGTAGGGGGTGACTTTGGATAAAACAAAATAGTTTCCAAAACCTCGACGCCAATATCTTTTAAATGCTATTATATATCGTAATGTGTTGTCTCACGGCCTTCCAATCCGCGTCCTATAATAAGCTAAGATTTATTGTGTTCATAAATCATTAGGGATGTGCTTAGTTTTCCGTAATTTGATTTTGTTAATTATATTTGTATTTCAGTTACAGCGTACTTAAAAGGTACCTAAGTCAGGCACGAAAGTTCAGTTTCCAAATGCGTTACTTCTGCAGGAAAATTTGCCACACTGTTTTCTTCTACATAACTCACTAAAAAGGTATAGAGAATTTAGAACTAAATTCAATGATGCAATTATTTATTACAAGTTACAAATTAGCACAGAGGTTTTATATGGGTAACGTTAAACAAATTAGAGACAAACTGAAATTAGGCAAGGTTATTTGTTATAAGGGCCTAAACGCCATCTGAAACCCCAGCGTCGAGGTATTGAACCCGTCACCCTAAAACCACCCCCTAAGTGGGATAAAATCTACCTTTTTAGAAATTTTTCTTAATAGCTCTAAAACTAAGCATTTTAAGAAAAAATGTCAAGGGAGAAAAATTGTATAGAAGAATATTTCTTAGCAAATTTCAGCACTCATTCAACTACTTAATCGTAGTTCCTACTAATAAAACGCCGGAAACTGTTCACTTAGGTTGCCTATAACATGATGAATACTGCCTGCAAGGGGGTCTTCGAAGTGACCCATAACTCTAAGCAACCACTCCCACCTCAATCGTGGGTGTCTCGACTTTTCCGGCACCTCATTCTCCGTTTAGTTCCTACAGTTAGTGTTGCTGTCAAGAGTCAATATTTTTCCCAAACTCTCCCTCATCGCATTTTTGCAAATTTATTTGTAAAAAGGTAGCTTTTAATCTCACATCGGCGGGCTGGTTGGTTGGCTGGGCCCGTAGAAGAACAATTATGGAAAGAGGAGGAGTGTACAATTGTACATGTAACTACCGGAGCCATGTAATGAACAACTTTAGGGACGGGGCTTCAAGATCTGGTGTCAGCGAAATCTGGGCGCCATCCCCGAGTGTTATAGTAACGTGGTGATTTTTCAGTGTTTTTCTATCTTCTTTTATAGTTTGGGTCCAATTGCGTGACCAGATAGTTTTTTTTTCGGAGAGGCGAAATAAACCACCCTTTGCAAGGCGCGCGTCTTTGAGGAGTAATCGACTTCAGCCACCCAAAAGTTGCCTTTCGGATAAAAAATTGTACTTGCAAAACGTTTCTAAAAAAAACTTGAAAAAACTGTCCACTTTAGAAAAGTGCATTTTTATGCTCTTTCCATTGATGCATAGTAAAGATATGGTTTCCATTAGATTGTCAACTTTAAACGATTATTCGTATTATTTTCGAATCACATTTGAAAATCAGACCAATAACATTTAATAGCGTGGATTTTTAGCTGTCCATTCGTAAAAAAAACATGTTGCTAAGTTTTCAGACAACAGTGATATGGGTAATTTACTCTGAAACTTCGAAACCATGTCAGTTAGACATAGCATCATATTGACAAAATCATACTGATTTTTTATGAGGAATTCAAAAATGACATCAGAAAAGATAGTGCCAATTGCATTAAGAAAGTTCCGGTATCGTTCTGATACAACCGGAAAAGCAGCCATCTTAAAAATATGTTTAAATGATTCCTTTTGATCGATTATTCAAAAAAGGTAATGGATCCCGAACTCCAAACCGTTCCTGAGATACTTCTAATGGTCCACTTAAAAACACCACCCTGTAGAAACATGATAGAAAAAAGTAACTTTTAAAAACGATAAGTTGCCCCCCTCTCCCCTTTTTGAAAATTTGTCATGGCTTAACAGTGATGGCGCTAGCTTTAATTCAAGTGGCGCAATGAAAATTAATGAATAGTTTCAAATTTAACGTATACATATGGTAGCAAATTTTCTTCTCTACAATGTTTCTCTCTTGACATTTTTTCTTAAAATGCTTAGTTTTAGAGTTATTGACCAACATTTCAAAAAGGTAGATTTTACGCCACTTAAGAGGTGGGTTTAGAGTGATGGGTTCAACGCATCGGCGCTGGGGTTTTACAAGATATTTAATACCTTAAAACAAAGTACTTTCTCACATTTCAGCTTGTGTCTAATTAGTTGAACGTCATCCTGTGCTAAATACCATTTTTATAATATCGTTGCATTGTATAAAAGTTGCAGCGATTGCAGTGTCTTTTTTCCAATAAACTCGTGAGAGTATGGTAAGGACCAGAATTTAACGGTTCAATTGTCTCCCAGGAAGTTCATTATTGGTTTAAATTTTCCGAAATTTTCTTATTCTCGATTTTTTGCGAAAAAAGAATATCGTTTACTGTTGTTATAAATGTCATGAAGATTATTCAACGATTTCAAAATTAAATTTATACTTTTGCTGCAAGGTGGAATCAAAATTATAGGTATAAATGCATTGTAATCTAATCTAATCCAATCCAATCTAATCTAGGTACTAAAGAAGGTCCGAGTTAAATAAATAGGCAGAGTTCATTCAATGACACCCCTAACCACCCCTGTTTATAAATTCGCAGAAATACTTGTTAGCATAGATGTCGTGCGTACGCCACTGACGTGAAGGGAAAAATGTTAACGAATGATCTGGGTGAATTTTTTATTTTTGTTGTACGCCAACATCAGTAGAGATGCTTTGAAATCACCTTGTAAAATCTTGAACCATTCTTTTAAATCGTGGCCGAAATTTGAAAAAGCAGAAAAAAGTCAAAAAAATTCCAATTGGGTTCAGATATGAGTATGCGGCATCTACCGATCTACCGATCAAATACATATACAGTCAAACATGTGTGACTGGTTTAGTATACAGTGTGTGCAAGATAAGAATGAACAGCATGGGGAAATCCCAAACTATAAGAGATACACAGAGATATGTTTTACTTGGCACCGCTAAAGGCATGCGTAAAAAAATGCATGTTTTTAATAATAATAATAATATTAATGTATATTACGTGCTTTGTAAAACAAAATAATACTTGCACTAGTCCAAACAACAAACATCAATACATTAAAGATAACTAGATCTAATTAATAATTAATTAAGGTAGAATCTTGAGGAATTCTTCAACAGAGTAGAAATGTTAATAAAAATATTGTTAATAAATGTTAATAAAAATATAGATAACGAGGTGGTTCATCCTGTAATTCTCGGTCCATGCATCCGAACCCACGCGACGGATGCATTTTGGCCACTCCCACTCCCGCATTTCAGAAAATTTTTTGTTTCCAGAAAATATCGCTCTCGTATTAAAAAAAAACTATAGTCCTTGCAACTATTTAGGAACGTTCCCTAAACATGAAAAAATCCATCTCGCAATTTTTTAAAAGATATTGAGGGTTTTATTATACGGTAAGTATCATTTTTCTGCAATAAAGCACTTTTCGAACAAGACCCCTGATAAAACCAAGCCTAACGGAGTAATGTGCTTGCAAACAAGTCCAAATACCAATGTTGGGATTGGTATTGCTCTGTGCAATGGTATGCGGTCACACGCAACAGCTTACCTGCTAGCTCAAATTACATAATTTAGTTTCTTTTTCCTTCTTAACGTTAAAATTCTAACATCGACTTAAAACACTTGAAAGAGCCGATGACCGCTATCAAATTCCGTAAATTCCAATGAAATCATTACTCAAATTTTGAATAATAAAATCAGAAATAAGGTTCGAATAAAAAGAGCTGAGAAAAAATCTGACATAGAAAAATAAAATTCTACCTAGATTCCGAATTGGGATTTAAATTGGCTCATAATTAATTGATAAAAAGAACCTATACAAGAATTTATTCTTACACACATCATCAAAAGAACATTTTTTTTGGCTTGGACTATTTGTCATTCGGCCAGTCGCATGGTGGTTATTTATTTATGATTTTTTTTATAGCCGTATATTTGCTTCTGCTAAGAACTTTATTAGGCACGCGTACACTGTTCTCTCATTTCTTGCCACAAGAGATGTAATGTTGTATGGGGTTGGTGCTATTATTAACAATTGGGTATACAGTTTCTTTCGTTCATTTTCATACCTCTTACACTCAAAAGAAAAGAACATCAAATACAAAGAATCCTGTAAAAAAATGTAAGTGCCTTTTCAATACAAAACACCCCGTTTGTAAAACGGTCGATCGAAAAACAATTTAAAAGATCTCAAAAACCGAGGAGTAAACCGCTAGCAAAAATTTGTACACCAAATACCTTTTCCTGAAAAAATTCCCTTTAATTCCTTAATTCCTCCTAATTTTTTTATCTCCTATTAATACCTTAATTATAGCCATGAACTCCTCAAAACATTTTTATTTCCTATTAATACCTTAATAATGCTCTCAATTCTCCACAATTTTTTTATTTCCTACCTACATTATTGCTCTGAATTCCCCACAATTCTTACAACAGCTCTATTCTCTATAATTGGGTCTACAAAGCCGCAGGACGGGTGTTCGAACCTGGGCTGAGGTAAGAATTTTTCATTTGTATCAGAGATAGGAATTTCCTTAGATCAATTT